CACCCACCACCCCAAAACCTCACTGGTGTCTGGACAAGGGCTGCACGGTGCCAGGCGACCTTCAGCCTCCCTTGAAACATCCCCGCAGAGGTGCCTCTGCCCAGTAACACCAAGCCCTGGCTCTTCAGGTGGAAGGATAATGGGGTTTTACACTTTTTTTTGGGGATACTTGTTGAAAGCGGGTGTCCTGCCCCACATCTGGGCATGGAGGTTCGGGCTCTGGCTGGGGACCAGGGAATGGTTTGTACTGATTGCCAAACCTGAGCTGCTGCTCTCTGCCTTTGGCTCCTGGGCTTTATTTCTCTTCCCAGTGCCACCAGCTTGTTCCCCAGCCAGGACGGCTCGGTGATGGGGATCTGCTTTGGGCTCTGCATCATCTTCTGCCTTCTCAGCCCAGCTGGTGGCGGGGAAGGAGCTGGGCAGCGGGTGGGGACACTTGTTGACAGGGAAAATTCCGCATTAATTTTTTCAGGGGGAGGAAAGAAGGCTGGGGAGAGGAGACCCCTTTGCGATCCTGCACTGTAGCACAGCATCGATCCCCCTGAGGCCATGGGAGCTGTGGCTGGATGGATGGGAGCCCACGCAGGGATGGGGGTCACTGGGTGCACCCCGTCCTGGACCAAGGATGGGGAATGTCACCGGGTTGGGACCGCGAGAGGACAGCCCAGCCATGGAGGGACAAGTTTGCTCTGTCGTGGCTGGATTTGGGATTGTGAGGTGGGGGACAGCCCCGGTGCCCCCCTGAAGGGATGCCTGTTGGATGAGAGGGTGTGAGAAAGTGCAGAGGGAGGGGAGGAGAGAGGGAAAGGAAGAGGGAGGATATATCGGAGGTGTCCTGGAGCGCTGGGACAGGGCAGGATCTGTCCGCTGCCCTGGAGGGGTGCAGGGAAGGGAGCAGAGGGGATGTTGGGGCGCTGGGCTTTGCGCCCACAGGTTTGGGGCTGTTTCACCCTGCGTGTTCACAGGAGGCCTTGGCATCCTTCGTGCGCTGCCGTTAGTGCCTGTAAAGAGAATAATCCCCCCTGGCAGGGCGGCAGCACCCCGTAGGCTGTGCTGGGTACCTATAGACGTGGGTGACCTGTGGCTCTGTGGATACCAGAATGTCTGCGTGGGTGCTTCAGGGTGGGCGTACAAAATTCCTGGGTGCTTGGGGTTATCGTGGCTGTAGGGTGGTTCTGCTGGGCCCTCCCCGGTGGTACCCGGCTCGTGCCTTTGGCTCTTGGCATCTCCCCCGGCCGTGAGTAAACAGTTGTGGATTATTACTATTTTTTTTAATCTTTTGGGGTTTTTGTTTGTTTTATTTTTCTTTTCTTTTTTTTTTTTTAATGCACTGTGCTCTGATTAAAAAATTTTACTACTGTTTTATAAATAAATGTACAAAAGAATGAACTGGAATGGAAGAAGAATCATTAAAATATATTTATTTACAACATCCTGGAGCATTGCAGCCTGGGCTGTTTCTTCTCGTCCCGGAGGAGGGAGGCACACGGTGCTAAAGCACCCAGACCCACTTTCCCCAGCGATGCCACGGCCGTGCCCAAAGGTTGGGCTGCAGCAGCAGCATCCCCATCTCGCAGGGGAACTGCCCTGGTTTTGGGGGGCTGCTGGGGGCTGGGTTTATTTTGCAGGAAAGCCTGGCTCAGTTAGAGAGGGGAAGCACTCCTGTTCCTCTCGTTCAGCTAGTCCCAGGGTGGTTTGGGATTTTCCAGGTCCCTCCAGAGGGGTACCCAGCCCTGCAGCCAGCTGTTTCAGGGAGATCCACAGCTCCTGGTGCTGAGCACAACTGGGACTTGGGAGGTGCCGACCCATCTGCTCATTGCTTAATTGGAACCAGGCTTGGCCCATTAATTAATAATAGTCACGAGGCCCCAGAGAGCAGGGCTGGAAGGAGCTGTGTCCCTGGGGCTGAGCGTGGGGTGGGTCTGCGCTGGGTGAGTGATGGTGGAGCCGTCCGGGGGGGCTCGGGTGCGTTTCCTCCCTGGTGGGTGGCTCCTGGAGCAGGCGTGGGGCTGCAGACCCCCTCTGGGTGCCCGGACCCTGGGTACAGGCAGGCTTTGGGGCAGGGTATTCCCCACCTCCTGTTTGCAAACCTGCTGCAGGCTGGGGACCCTCCTGCCCAGTGCAGGCAAGGGGAAAAAAATAAGTTTGTAAAGGCTGCTGCTGCCCTGCCAGGGGGCTGAGCCCGTGCCTGGCAAAACTCATCACATGCCACGTTTGCAGACCCTGTCTGTGCTCCTCTG